AATAATAATAATAATAATAATAATAATAATAATTAATAATAATAATAATAAATGCTTTAATGTTTCATTAGTGATTTTTATTCCAATATTACTTCGCTTATTTCAAATTTAATTTAACAGTTATTTTGATGTAATTACAACGAAATCATCCAACAATTAATAATTGTTTATTAAAGTTACCATTGTTATATTCATTTTTCATCAATTATTTTCTCTTCTATCCAGGATTTAACTAAACATTCACTTTAACTGGCTTCTTCTGCTGTTGAAGAAAATAAAATTGGATGCTAAATGATAATACAATGAAAAACATTAGTACTGGACAACTGCTACAAGTGAACAGTTGGAAAAGGATTGAAGAGAATGATCATGTACTATGTATTGAGGTTGTTATACCTTCCATTGTCCTCTTCCATCTCTCTAATTTGATGAATTCTATTTCTTTCGTCAAATGTCCGATAAACGCTTTGTATTGAAATGTATATATATGTGTTTGTGTATCTGTTGTATATTCAAAAGGTTACATTCATATTATTATTTATCCATATATTTTGTTCCTAAAAGAAATCATCAAATTTTTTTTTTGAAGTAATGGAAATGTTTTTTTTTTTTTTTTTGATTTCAACAATGTAATATGATCTTTGAAGTGTATTTCATTTCCTTTCTGTTAATTAAATGAATATTTCGATTTTTCGTACGTAATCTTTTTTTTTTTTTTGTGAAAAAAATTTTGATGAGAATGCAAATTAAAAATCAAATCTTATCGTTCTTTTTTTTCTTCTCTCTCTCTCTCTCTCTCTATGTAAAATATTTGTTAAAGTCTATCATTTCATGAAAATTATTTTACGAGTTGTTTTGTTTTTTTCTTTTTTTTTTTAAAAAAAAACGTGATAAACAGATAAACGAAAATATATTTGTAGTGATTGAAATTATGATTTTGATTCATTTAAGAAATAATTATCATAAGTGTTTTTTTAACAAATTTAGGCATTGAATGAATAAATAAAATGAATTTTTCTCGCACATACAATAGTTTCAAATGATTTTCTTTCCTGCATTTGTTGAATTCTTGAAATATATCTTATTTATTTTCTTTTTTTTTTTTAAGTAAAAAAAGTTTTAGTGATTTTTACAATTTCTAAATATTTACTATTTGCAAAAAAAAAAAANAAAAAAAAAAAAAAAAAAAAATTAGAGCAATTCTAATAATCTGCATTTTTTATATTTAGATGGAAGTATATTTGGTTATTGATAGCTTAAAAATTCCTAATTAAACAATTAATCATTTAATGGAATTAAATTTTTGCAATTTTCTTTGAAATTTCGATGAATTTATATCCCAGTTTTATTTTTAAAGAATAATAGAAAGATATTAAGGTTTGTATTTTGCTACAGTACTTTTCTGTTCTTGCATCCTTTTTTTTATTTTCCTTTTTCAAATCTTTAATATTTTACTAAAAACCAATATGCAACACAAATATCTTCATTGCTCTTGAATTGAAAAAATAAATAAATAAAAATAAAAACAAAAAACTTAAAGTAATTTGCTTTAACTATAACATTGCTATTAATTTTAATGGTATTTAACACATTATAAATTTTGTCATCATTAATGGATTCATTAATTCTGTCACTTTACATTATTTGACAGAATTTACAAGTTTTCTCGAATCTCGAACTGATATTTTGGGATATTCATTATCGTAATCATGAATGTATACTGGAACAGTGTTTTTGTAAAATTAAATTGTAACTTTGTTATTCAATTATTTCATCTCATCGATTTATATTTTTCAAACCATCCCATCCATTCACTCAATATTTCCACTCATTAATTTACTTTAAAATATTACCAATATTTTTATCTATTATAGAGTAGAAATTCTCTTTTTCTTTGTGGAAATTAATTTTTAATAAAATATTTGATATTAGTAATTTTATAGTGTGCAACGAACGGTTTGATATTCATTTTATTTCGCATAATGCTGCTAATTTCACATGAAATTATAATCATTATAATTAAAGTATTTTTCTCTATTACTAAGTTATTGATTTATTTGTTTACTCAAAAAGCATGCGTTAATTTCATTTTCCTTTTTTCCACTAACTATATCCACCGTTGTATAACTTCAACTAATTAATTACAATTTTTTAAATTAATTACATTTTTGTTTTTGCCTTTTTCTCCGTTTTCTTTTTCTTTTTTTTTTTTTTTTTCATAAAATTTTTCTGTCTTTATCAATTCATTATCCTAAATAGATGAAAAAAAAAAGAAAGATGAGGGAAGAAATAAATTATTCTTAATAAGAGCATATCTTATTCATTCAAAAGTTTTCACCGATAAAAAAAAAAAAAAGATAATATAAATAAACTGATCAATCAAATAGTTAATTAAAATAAATCAAGATAGGAAAAAAAAAGGGGAAAATGATAAAAGATTTATTTTATAGAAATTCATTTAAAATTGTATAATTTGGCTTATTCATACTAATTAGATAGCTAATTTTTGCTTTATTTATTAACATATAATAGTTTGTATTTTGTTCTTTTACATATATTTTATCAATTTTATTTATACATTATCAATTTAATTATTTCTTTTTTGTGATATTATTTCATTGCATCGTTAATTAAATGCGTTCATTTTATTTATTTTACTATTTATACATTTGACATTCCTATTTTTTTTACATTTCTTTTATTTTGGTAGGAATTTTTTGCTTTTACTTTTATTTTATTTTCCTTTTGTTTTATTTTTTTCTTTTTTTCTTATCCTTTTTTATATAATACTTTTGTTTTATTTTTCCTTTTTTTCTTGTCTTTTCTTTTTTTATATCGTATTTTAATTTTATTTTCCTTTTATTTTATTTTTTTTCTTTCTTTTTCTTGTCCTTTTTTATATTATAGTTTTATTTTATTTTTTGTTTCTTTCTTGTCATTTTTTATATTATATTTCAATTTTATTTTCCTTTTATTTTATTTTTTTCTTTTTCTCTTGTCATTTTTTGTATTATACTTTCATCTTATTTTCCCTGTAAAAAAAAAAAAAAAATGTTTAATTTCTTCATCACATTTATTTGTTCATTAATTTTTATTTATATGCTTAGTTTATATGATCCCTTCATTGCACTTTATTTGTTTATGTAAATTATTTATTTATTTGCTTAATTTTTTTCTTTTTTTAATGCAAATTATTACGAAAAAAAAAAGTGCATTTGAAAGAGCAACACTGAAATGATAATAGTAATTAGTTGCGAATCTGTTTGCGAAGAAAATGATTTGATTGATCAAAAGAGATCAAAGATTTAGGTCAAAGATTCATAGTAATTAGTTGCGAATCTGTTTGCGAAGAAAATGATTTGATTGATCAAAGAGATCGAAAATTCAAAAAAATCTTCCCTATTTTTCCACTCTTTTGTCCCTTGTTTTTAGTCAGGAAGATGAGTGCTAAAAAAAGAAAGATTCATGTTGAAATTTACCTATTCATTCACAGAATCTTTATTGTAATTTTTTTTGGAAATCTTCCAAATTAATACAGTTTGTATTAATTTCATTGTTAAGCAATTAACATAACAATACATGTTTGCAAGGATTAAATTACAATTTTCTCTCTCCATTTTTCTCTCTCTCTCTATCTCTCTTCTTCTGTTTTCCTTTCCCGTATTTTTCTTTTTTTTTTTCATAAAAATTGTTTTCATTGATTAAACGAGTATTAAAATTTATCATTTAAAAGGATTAAATTTACAATTAAAGAGAAAAAGAAAAAAAAATTCTTTATTATTCATAAGAGAACACAAATATTAGAAAGATATATTAATTTATTAATTAATTCCTGAACATATTTTAAGTTTCATTAAACTTCCCATCTTTTTTTCTTTTTCTTCACTATCGTAAATTGTCATTTATGTTTTTTTCCTTTTTTTTTTCTTGGATAAAATTTTGCATACATTATATATTTTTTTTTATATTTATATTCCTTCTATCACTAAGAAATGTTTCATTTGTTAAAAAAAAAAAAAAAAAAGATAAGAATAATTTATTTTTTTGTAGGAATTTATATTTTATATATATTCGTGATTTCAATTCATTTTTTGACAAATTTCTGTTCAACAATTTGAAAAACAATGAGTACATTGGGAAAAGGAAAAAGTTTCAAATGGCAGGTATATATCATTTTCTTTTCTTTTTTTTTTTTTATTCGATAACATGAAAATGGAATTTAAATTTTTGCAAATATTATAATTAATTGCTAAAAAAAAAAAATGCAAACTATTTTCATTAATATTATTCAATAATTTCATAAAATATTATAATTAATTGCTAAAGAAAAAATGCAAATTATTTTCATTTATATTATTTAATAATTTTATAAAATTATTTTAGATGTCATCAATGGTAGATAAAGTACGCCGTGGTGTAGCAAAAACAATACAAGCAGCTTCCGAAGGTGAAGCATTTGATACATTACCAGATTGTGATATTCTTGGGACAAGTAATCGATTTGCTATTAAAATTTTACCTTCCGATGAGTGAGGAATTATCATATTTATTTATTAATTGTAATATTCATAATAATCATTTAATTTCTTACTAGAATTTTCAATTTCTATTTAACATTAATGGATTTACAAAAAATTTTAGAATGAAAATAATCGAAAAATCTTTAATAATTTTTATTCTATTTTTCATTTCGAATTAAATTTTCCGCTTATTTTTTTTTTCAAGCTAATAGTTATCTTTTTTTTTTTTTTATTTGCTAATAATCAGCAAGGCTACATGAATTGTCAAAAATTTTTTCACTGCACTCATTGATATTGCCATTTCATCCTGAAAAAGTATTTCGTAATTTAAAATTGATTGAAAATTATTTCAGTACAATTCCGTTTGAATTTTATCATTCTGTAATACTGTATATTTCTCAAAAAAACGATTTTTGTTTACTTAAATTTCATGATGGAACAAATTTTTCGAAAATAGTGAAATAATTAAAGGAAATGAAATCAATTAATTGAAGTCAGGGAATTGTTAGCTTTAAAAACTTACACATTGAGGAGAAGAAGAAAGTAGAAAAATTTGAATAAGAACTAAATTTTCATTTTCACTACCATCGTTTCTAGTATTTTAGTTTACTTCACATGCAAATAAATAATTCATTGGTCATTCGACTGAAATAAATAATCTGTAATCGTTCGCAATTTCATATCTTGCTGCTTATTTGAAAACTAAATTATAATTATGAGAAACCATATAATGATCAAGTTTTCTTTTTTCTTCCTTCTGAATTGAATAAAAAAAAAAGTGAAATGGTATTAGCAAAAGTTTTTATTCCAGGAAAAAGCCTTCTGCATCCGGTTTCACACCGATCCATTTTGTGATTAAAGCCAAAAAAGGTAATCGTCAAATTGTCTATAACTGTGAAATGATTGCTGCTCAGGGAATTGTTGTTAAAACATTACGAGGCAATACAGTAATGGAAATACGACTATCAGATAATTCTCAAAATTCTATGGGTAAAATTTTACATCCTGCTGGATCAACTCTTTATAAGGTATACCTTATTTTCCGGTTTATTAAGATTAAATATGTGAACAATTTAACATCCGAAAATTTGAAAAAAGAAAAAAAATGAAAAAATGAACCTTAAAATAGTTATTCGAAAATGAATTATAAATGCAAAATTTCAAAAGAATTCTTGAAATTGTGCATGGGAGAAAAAAGATTCATGAATATTTTTTATTTCGCAAAATGCTTTTTTAGGTTGAACAAATAAAATGTCAATCATTTGATCGAAGATTTGTGATTTCAAAATTTGGTGAACCATTCCTGAATGTTGTCAATACACCAATTACACAGGTAAATGATTTTATTCTTTAACAGCCAGTAAAAATTTTGCTATTTTTTTTTCTATCAGGCAATTTCCTGTATCAAAATGGAATACTTATATGCATGATTTACTTTTTGTCAAAGGATAATAGTGATGGATGTTAATATTGATTGTTCCCGAGGAATTTAGCAAGCTTAGAGTGTTTATTAAGTCATAATTGAGTAGTTATTTTAATGTGACATATTTAAGAATTATGGATTTTTTTTTCCTTCAAAAAATTGGACAAATCTTTCTAACGTATCATTCTGTGCCAGTAGTATTAGAAGAAAATGTGACAATATTTTCGAATTCGCATATTCTGTTTTAATTGGCTGAAAGATGGAACGTTTGCCATATCGAAGAAGAACTTTACTCGAAGTATAAATTAACCTTATGGTGACGAATTTGGATAAATATAAAGATATCAGTAAATAAGTAATGATGAAAGTAATTGTATAATTGTAATGATACAATTTTTTCCTTTTCTTAAAAAGGAAAAAAAATGCAGAAGATTTTTAGATTTTTCAATTTCTATTCTAGATTTTCGGATCATTCAGCAATATTTTGCGATATTTCTACCTCATTAATGCTGATCAAGCGTTGGAATTTTTCAATTTAAACAATGAAAAGATTGGTTTTCTTAGGCCTTCATACTTTTCAACAGCTAAATCTATCATTATCAATTACAGGTTTAATTTGTATATTTCATATTGAGATTTTGCAGGAGATTGAATTTTTGTGACAAAATACTAAATAGTGTTAACGAAGCAATTTTTGATGATTTTCAAAATTACAAAAACGAAGCCTGAAAAGAGTACAAAAAATAAGTGTCGGAAGCAAAGTACCATACACAGTTGTATTTTCATAATCTTTTAAATTTTATCAAAAAATTAGATTTAGTAGATTCAATCCATCTTTCTTTCTCAAATTTCTAGAAGTTTTAATTTGAAATTTGAAGTCTAAATACCAAGTTTGTTAATTGAGATTTCGAAGAAAGAAAATAACAAAGCTTTTGAAATTTTATCATTTTAGTGATGAAACAACAGCAGTTCAAGAACGAGCTGCTATGCTAGGCGCAAGCATACTCTTTCTAATTGTTGCTGTTCGACCAGAGTACGGTACCATGCTCCAGGATACACTTCATTAACATGGAACTATCGATGTTTGTTGAAAGTAGCTAAATTTATCATTATTACATGAATTAAACGAATGATAGTATCTTAGTGATAGAATTTGGTGCTATTCATAAAATTCTTGCACAGTATATCGACAATTTTGCAGCATATTAATTATTACACGGCATTAGAGTAGCATATTCTGTCCCAGAATCTAACAGTATGTGTTTTCTGTTATTCCACCATGATCTTCCCTTTGCCTTTTTCTATTTCCCCTGTGACATCAATTGATTGCGATATTTTTTGAATGTGTATTTAAGAGAAAAAGGAAAGAAAAGTGATGAAGTATGTTTCGTCTTCTTCATCAAAACTCTTCGACTGTGCTGCTTTTTATCTCAAATTAAAAAAAAAAAATTTCACAAGTAATTTCACTTACCTCTTCAGTCATTTCAACTTCTTACCTTTATTTATTTAAAACAAAACATTTCTATCATAAAGCCAACCATCCCTTCTTTTATGCTATGAACTGGATGAGTTGTACTACAAATCCCAAAAAAAACAATGCAATTCTTCCCTTCCACACATTTAATTCTTATCACAAAAGAAATGAATTAATTATGAGCGGACAATTAAACAATTTTAGCATTCATAATTGGATCAGTGGAAAAATACCAGTAAATGAAGTGAATTAAATTGAAAAAATGTATCAAGGGATTTGGGATTTCCCAGGAGATGTTACTAATGATATTGCAGTAACGAAAAAAGAATAATATATGGTGAATAAAAATTCTTACATTACGTATTGACAAGATTGATCAAAATAGGAGTCAATGGTTTTGTGAACATTTCATTCAATCAGGAATAGCCAGGCATATTTAACTTTTAATGCTATGATTCTTTTACATATTTCTCCTCAAACCTCTTGTTGAAAGCCAATCAACCGTCTAGCCACTCACTGGTATTAATTCGATTGTCAGATATTCTAACTGAGTAAAATACTATAAATAGCCCAACTGCAATGCTTATTGTTGACAGAACATTCCGAAACCTATGAAATGACATGAGACATCAAATGCTGTGATTAAAAGGAGTCTTTTCTTTATCAAAGATTTATTTCCATTTATATGTACAATAATCGAGTAAGGAATCATATGAAGCAATATCATTGGTAATATAATAACAGTGATACTTATTTGCATATAGCATGACAATCACTTGCGCGTATAACAGTCAGTTACTTGCTTATTACATATGCACGAATCACGAAAAAGTAATTTAGCAGGTCTGCAGATAAAAACAAAACCGATATTTGATTCACTAAAATGAAAGAAATAGCAAAGGGATGGAAAAAGGACGATAGTATTATGCATATGAGACAAAAACGAATAACTTATAAGCAAACGATAAATAATAAGAGCAATAGAATGTTATTATTAAAATAAGGACTAAATATAGAAATACGACTTATAGAAAATATCAAACAATCAACGAAACAAGACGTACTTCAGTTTAAAACGCGCCTTTCAGCTTCTTTCATGATTCTTGCGCGATTTCAATGAACAACAACACAGGAAACCTTTACCGCAGACGTTACAGTTGAAGAGTGGTTTACTTTTGCCGTGAGTTGCCATGTGGTTTCTCAAATGTGGTCTCTGAAACTTTTATTACACATCGCGCAATTATAAGGTTTGGTACGACTTCTCGTATGATCGTCCTTATGGTGTAATCGGGAAGCTGTAAGGCCTCTCACGATATAAGTTCTCATATGGATCTTCTTGTTGCATGATTGAGAAAAACTACTGTTGCACATCGAAACAGTACGTTGGGTTCTCAGTGGTACGAGTTCTCATGTGGGTCCTCCTGTTGCATGATCGAGGGAAACTACTGTTGCACATCGAACAAACGTACGGCTTCTCAATGGTATGAGTTCTATTATGATCTTTCATAGCTGGTAAATGAGAGAAGCTTTTGTTGCATGTGAGATAACCGTATTCTTCCGATTCTCACGGGTGTGAGTTCTCATATGGTCTTCCTTATGGTGTGGTCGAGAGAAACTTTTCTTGCATATTGGACAACTGTAGGGCTTTTCACCAGTATGAGTTCTCATATGCCTTTACATACTTGTTACTTTCTTTTGACATACATTACACTGCGATTTCTTCATTTTATTCATACTTTTTCGTTTAACGCTCCCTTCTTTGACTGTTAAGTTCATTAGTTTTGTGTATCTTTTAGTGGCTTCTTCGACAAATAACTCTCATTATCCTACTTATTTCTCCATCACTCCTTGCACTGGTAAATCCAACAGCTCTGTTTGTTCCATTTG